ACTCTGGGTGGTGCTATTTTCTGACAGTGTGACCAGGGTGTCCATCCTGTGCTGGTAAGGTTCAGTGAGCAGATTAACCCTCACGGCATCCCCAGGTGGGCCAGAACTTTCTCTGTCGGATTAGTGTTTTGCATCATTTGACACTGAAGATTTCTGAGGATTGAGGGGTTTTTTATTGGCAGAACCAGGCGTTTCCCAACTTCCTGGTGTGACAGAGAAGCCGTCAAGACAGATACGGGCTGTGGGAGCTGTAGAGCGTGAGGGCGTCATGTGGTAGGGATGGCGAAGGTGGCTGACAGTGACTGTTGTTGGCTGATGTTTTCTCGATGCCTGTGGGCCTTCTCGGGGAGTCAGGGCCTCAGGAGACAGACTCATCTTTACCCTGATCCGTGACCCCAGAAGAGCTGATTTTACCTCAGCTGGTTCAGTGGTGGGATTCTCACCTTCCACGCGGGAGACCTGGGTTTGATTCCCGGCCAGTGCACCTCGTGTGCAGCCACCACCCGTCTGTCACTGGAGGCTCGTGTGTCGCTGTGATGCTGGACAGGCTTCACCGGGGCTTCCAGACTAAGACAGACTAGGAAGAAAGGCCTGGCGATCTGCTTCCAAAAATCAGCCAAAGAAACCCCTACGGATCACAACAATCCAATCCACAACCGATCACGGGGATGGCGCAGGACTAGGCAGCACGTCTTTCCATTGTGCCTGGGGTCACCACGAGTCAGGGGCAACTCAGCGGCAGCTAACAACAGAAACCACGGCTCTTTCGGTACTTTTCTCCCTAAAACAAAACTGCCCATTCTATCTATTAAACAAAAAAAAAAAAGTTTTTAAGAGCAGGACTACGGTTGAGTCCACACAGCTGGACTTCACTCCCAAGAGTAACGAGACTGTTGTCTTTACCTCACCTGAGCTGCTTGTAATTCCTCTGTAGTTCTCACCCGATTTGTTCAGTGATTTTGTTCTTTTGGGATCTTGAAACTTGAGGGCCAGAATGTTTGCTCCATTAGTGCCTCGGGCAAGAGAACCTGCTGTGAGTTAGTGCACGGCCACAGGCGCAGCCGAGTGGCTCAGCCCCCCGCAGCCTAGTTTTTAGATAAAGGGAAGCCCCGCTGGTCACCTTCTGGCAACCCCTGGGGTAGACGCGGACACGCTCTCACTTTCTCTGTACACGTACCTGTGTTTCACACACCACGGTGAGGCACTGTGCCCAGCACCTGGGCGTCCAAAGTGGATTCTATCCTGCAAGCTGAAAGGGCAGAAAGGGAGCTCATTCCCAGCTAGCTGTCATTCCCGCATAAATCGCCAGCACCGTCCATGGAACTGGCCGGAATCTGCCCAGTTAACATCCTGAGATGTTAGTCCATCTATTCTAAGTACCCTGTCCACAGCGCCCGCTCCTCCTCCCACCCCGCCCACTTGCACACGAAGGACAGAGAGGCCAGGAATGGATCTGTCCATGGAGAAATGAACTGTTCAAACCACAGGGGCCCCCACTTCTCCCGCCCATGGATGTCCTAGCTGGGGGGACGGGCTCTGGGGAGGCCGGCAGTTCCTTGCTAAATGGATAAAAGACGTTTTGGAGGAGTTTAAATGAAACCCAAGACAGCAAGACGGAGTGTGTTGTCAGTTGGATTATGTCTTCCAGTAAGTTATGTTGACGCCCTAGCCCTGCACCTGTGACTATGCCTCGGTTGGGAAATGGGGTTTTTCTTAAGCGCTTGGCTGCTAACGGAAAGGTTGGAGGTTTGTGTCCACCCAGAGGTGTCTTGAAAGAAAGCCTTGGTGATGTACTTCTGAAAAATTGGCTGTTGACAACCCTATGGAGCACAGTTCTACTCTGACACACACGGGGTCACCATGAGTCAGATTTTGTTCTGTTCCTGAGGTCATACCAGAGTAGGGGGTGTCCCAAAGCTAATCACTTCTGAGTTATAAAAAGAGCAGAAGAGACCCAGAGACACAGAGGGGAAGAGAGCTGTCATGTGAGGATTGTCTACAAGCAAATGAACCCCAAGGATGGCCAGCAGACACAGAAACTAGGAGAGAGGCAGATAGAAGAAACAGACACAGCTAGACCCTGATTTGGACTTTCAGCCTCCAGAACTGTGAGAGAATAAATGTCTGTTGTTAAAGCCGCTCACTCGTGGTATTCTTTTGTTCTGGCCACCCTAGGAAAATAAGACAGAGTCCTTCCTAGTAGACAGAGAATTTCAGAAGAGACAATGGCATCCATGTATTGATATGCAGGTTCTCCTGCAGGCTGGGAGGGCCTCGTGACTTCTGAGGCCCATTCTGCCTGTACTTTAAACCCACTCTCCAGCCCACAACGAGAGCCTTCCCTCCTCTTCCCTCCTTCACGTTCCCAACTCCACCCACCACCGTTCCTCAGTAAGAAGCAAGAGCCCGGTGGTTCCACAGCTCAGGAGTGACATTCGAGTGCATTAGTATCGGGGTTGTACAAATGGTTCAAGCACTCGGCTGATAACCAAACGGTTGAAGGTTCAAGTCAACCCAGAAGAAAAGGCTCTGGTGATCTACTTCCAAAATCTCGGCCATTGAAAACCCTGTGGAGCACAGTTCTACTTAGACACACGTGGGTCACCGTGAGTCACAGTTGACTGGATGGCAATTGTTTATTTTGCTTGTTTTTTATTATTATTCTCACTATTAATTTAAGATTTCCGAAAGGATTTTTACTACCAGGCTGTTTGCATGCATTTTCTGTGTGACCAGCTGGGAACCTAGCCAGACCCTGAATCACACAAGAGGTTCCTGCTTCTGACTCCGTGTCCCACAGTGGGAGGCCCTGAGCCAGCTCTAGGCCTTGGGGGCACCTGGTCCCTTGCCCCAGGATGCAGGCGCGACCTCGATTCTGATTTGTTGCACCAGGGAAGCTGGAGGAGAATCCTGACCTGGGAGTTCACATTTTGCTCTCAGTCGGGGGCTTACAGGGGTAGGGGGTCGTCATAGCTGTTTCTCTCGCCCTTGGAACTGTAAAGCTGTAGGATGTTCAAGAAGCACCTTGGAAATTAAAAACCCAGCCTGCATGGTCTTGATAGGTCATTGGCAGTGCTGTAGTGCTTTTACTGATTAGCCAGCCTGGGGGGAAATGAGATTAAAATTCATGGCAGCCAGAATTGTTTTTAAACATCTGCCCCCAGCCCCAACCCGCTTTGACCATGTTGAACTCAGCTGCCACGGGCTCAAAAGAGACAACTTCATTCTTAAAGTCAGTACTTGGGACACAGGGAAGGAACCCTGGTGGCACAGTGGTTAAAGCACTTAGCTGCTAACTGAAAGGTTGGCGGTTCAAACCTACCAAGCCACTCCTAGGGAGAAAGATGTGGCAGTCTGCTTCCATAAAGATTTACAGCCTTGGAAACCTATGGGGCAGTTCTGCTCTGTCCTGTAGGGTCACTATGAGTCGGAATCGGCTAGATGGCAACAGGTTTGGTTTTTTTTTTGGTGTTTATGGTGGGCTTCCGATATGTCAGGGCTGTGGCAGGCACTTTATATTTGATGTGGTGACCAGAACAGCCTTTGAGACAGGCAGAGTGTCCCATTTGCCTGGTGGTGTGTATCCAAGCTCCCACAGCTTATCGGAGTAGGTAGAGTCCCCCGCCCCGTGAGCTCCCCACTACCGCACGGAATCCTCTGTGGACCCCTTTGTGGTGAAACCAGGAAATGGCAAAGCAAGGCAGCTCAGACAGTGACTACCTGATGTTTGCACGTGGTTACGTGTGCAGTAGGCTGCTTATGGCACCACCCGTCTGTCAGTGTGCGGTGCACTGTGGTGGCCTGCCTGTCACCACATGCCGGAAGCTATGCCACCCGTATTTCAAATACCAGCAGGGCCGCCCGTGGTAGACAGGTTTTAGCAGAGCTTCCAGACTCAGGCAGACTGGGAAGAAAGGCCTGGTGATCTACTTCTGACGATTAGTCAATGAAAACCCTGTGGATCACTGAATATTGTCCACGACTTCTATTTGCTTACTTTGGATGCATCATCAGGAGGGACTGATCGCTGGAGAAGGACATCGTGATTGGTGAAGTGTCTTACGGCCACAGAAGGTGAGGGAAACCCTCCATGAGATGCATCGATACAGTGGCCTCAACAATGGACTGTAACGTACCAGCCGTCATGGAGACGGAGCAGGACCAGGCTCCATTCCGTTCTGTTGTCCATAAGGTCTCCACGAGTCGGAGCTGACTTGACAGCAACGAACGGCATCAACAGCACACGGCTGATGTTATCTGGTGTCCGTACATAATGGACGTTTCTTTTCCAGACCTTCTGTGGGAAGTTGTCACTTCTTAGCTCCTCCTGGGATGGAGATTTCTCCTTGCACGCCAACTCGGAGGGTTGGGAGTATTTGCATGGGGGGTTGCAGGGAGGATGGAGGCCCCCCCCTCCAGAGTGGCAGGGACCTGGGCAGGGATAAACTAGCAGACGGGACGCCAGGACGGGAGATGGACAAGGGGTTTCCACCTCCATTATGCCTTGCGATAGGCAATAATGGGTGCCTGCTAAAAAGTCACATGGAACTGTGTCATTCATGGGCGAGAGTAGCTTATAGCTTATGGAAATTAACTTCCCTACTTCGTGCTCATGTGATTATGAATTTCAGGCCTCCTGTCTCTTCCTTAGAGCAGTAACTAAACAAATTAAGAAGTCACGTATCTAATTATCCATCTAGATCCCAGAGGTATAAAGAAAACGTTACTAACATCCTGCTACGCCTTCCTTTTTCATTTGTTAGATCTTGGTATGAAGTAAGACGGACGCTTATGTTAATTTGGAAGAATGTTTTCTGTTACTCTCCTCTCCAAAGAGGGATTGTTTGGTATGGTTTCGACGCGATCCGGGTTTGAAGATGCGGTTGAAACTCCTGTGTGTGTTTGGCGGGTGTAGGGGCAGAGGTGCCGTAGAGATTCTGGTTTACTGATACACGAATTCTAAGTCCTGTGTGCTTGTTGTTCTGTTGTGTTTTTAATAGACCAGGCATTTGGAAGGACCTGAGGACCATGGGCTCGGTGTCTCTCTTTGTATTCTTCATCACACTGCTTGTTCTGGGTCGGCAGGTAAGGAGTCTGTTACCTTTTCTACCTTCTCTGAGTGCTTTGTCCATGTGCGCTGTAGTTACCTGGATGCAAACCGATGTTGAAGGATCGTCTCGTCCCTTAGGAGAAAAGCAGGTAGCCATCACAAGCTATGAGTGCTTAGAGGTAGACAAAAGGAAAAGGTCACTCCTTCTCTCCTCATGAGGAAAACTTTGTGGATGGCAGAGATGGGAATCCACTCGTTTCCTGGGAAATCTCAAAATAAATGCCGTCAGTACTGTGAGCCCACACAGATGTTCCCAGTAGCTGGCTCTATCTGGGAAAAATCTCCCCTGGATGGGTGGGTTTCTGCTTGCATTTCAAATGCTCAGCCCACTTGTCTTCCTCTGAAGCGTGTACCAGTACCTCTGCTGTCATTTTCAGTCACTCTGAAAAGGATAGCCCTCTGTCCTGAAGTGTGACTTTGGGCTGAGGACGTAGCGGTCCTCCTCGGGTGCTCCCCCAGCTGGCCGCCCCGTGGACTGGGGAGGCAGGACTGCACAGGGCACTTAGTCTCCCTCTGCCCACACAGGTGGACGAGACGTGCCCCGGCCAGGTGGCTGGGCCTCAACAGAGCCTGCTTTAAGCTCTTTGATGGGTATCGTAACATGAACAAAAGGGTGATGTATTTGCAAACAGCCAATTAAGAGACGATGCCGAGTGAGTGATCTACACATTACTGAATTATAGACACGTGAACTATGTGGCAGCACAAGGGGTAAATGCTCTGCTGCTAACTGAAAGGTCATTGGTTCAAACCCACTCAGCGGCTCTGCAGGAGAAAAGACCTGGCAATCTGCTTCCGTAGATTTCAGCCTAGGAAACCCTACGGAGCTGTTCTGCTCTGTCCCGTAGGGTTGCTACGAGTCAGAATCGACTCAAAGGCACACAACAGCAGCAATAACTATCTCTGAGCGGCGGACTGTGGGCTCCTGAGTTTGGCTGTGGCTTCCAGGCTCTCCGCACTAGACAGCTATTAATAATAACGCGGTTGGCGCGGTCTCCATCGAGGCTGTCCATCCAGCTGTGTCCTCACTGTCTTCCCGAGTCTCTCCTGGGCCGTGCTGTGCAGTCCTGCTGCAGGGCTGCACGTGCTCCCTGTCTCTCCCTCCCTGGCCTCCCCACCTCCATCTCGGGAATCTTCTCAGTTCTGGGTCCTTCAGCTTGCAGCCTTGACCACCTGCACGTTTCCATAACCCCACGGCATCAAAGTGCTGCGTCTCCCTGCTGTCGGTTGTTTCTCCCAGTACCTGCCTCTCTCCCCACTAGTGGTGAGCTTTCCGCTCTCACTCATGGGAAAGAGGGGTGTCCCCCTGAGGAGACCCTCTCATTTGATGTGAAGTAAGGGACTTCCTTGCAGAAGACCCTGCAGACGATCATGGCTTGGGATCCCACGTAGCTGTCCCTCGGTGGACTGCACGTGGCACGTTTCCTGCGGGGACTGCGTTGTTCTGCGGTGACCCCGCTGGAGTCCCTGCTCAGATCACTTCCTCGCCATACATTCAGGAGCCTCCGGTCGCGCCGGGTCCTCCCCGCCTTTTTGCCAGTCACTGAGATCTTCAACAGAGCCCTGGTGGAACAGTGGTGAGAGCTCGGCTGCTGATCAAAAGGTCAGCAGTTCGAATCTACCAGCTGCTCCTTGGAAACCCTATGGGGAAGCTCTACTCTGTCCTAAAGGGTCGCTATGAGCTGAAATCAAGTCACTGGCAATGGATAGTTTCCAAATTAGAGGCCTTGTTTAGTAAGTGCATCGAACCATTTCTATTCGTACAGAGTATGGGAAAGTTTGCACTCATGTAAAACCTTTAATATAAGCAAACGTTAAAATTTCTGTTTTGCAGTCTTTGAAAATATCTGGCTACATGAGGTAGAAATAAGCTCCACACCGGGGGAAGAGGAATATTTTTGAGTGTATCATGTATAAATTGATAAGTGATCATCGTTCTTCATCTCAAAATGTGGATCTTTTTTAAATTGCCATTTGTGGGTGAGAGTCGTTGTTTTACACCGTCCTTGATATAATTCATCAAACCAGCAAAACCAAACCCGTTTTTTTTAAACTCATCTCTGCTGCGTTTGTTTTCAGTGACTATCTGTGCTGAAAAGAGCCCTCTGTCTTGGGTTCTAGGAAGAGCTACTCAAGGGTATTCCATTCCATTAAATTATTTATATCATGTGGTCGTTGCTGTATGCCGCAGAACCGATTCCGACTCCTAGTGGCCCTACACGACAGAGCAGAACTGCCCCATAGGGTTTTCTAGGTTGTAATCTTTATGGGAGAAGATCGCCAGCTCTTTCTCCCAAAGAGCCGCTGGATGGCTTCAAACCACCAACCTGTCGGTTAGCAGCCAAGAGCTGAACCATTGCACTACCAGGCTCCTTACTTACATCATAGGTGGCAGAAAATGATCCTAAGACTAGAAAGACCCTTGTCGGAAAGCGGGCCTCTCCATGTCTGCCGTGCTAATAATAACTGGTTAGAAAAGACGGCATTGCAATACCTTATGAAGCATGAATAAATAGCATTTTGCTAGCAGGCACTGTCTTAATTAAATGATATCAGAATGAATTTTGTCTAAATGTAATGGCGTTCTCTCAGGACTCTGCAATCCCAAATGGGAAAAAAAGCATTTCACAATGAATATTTAATTACGTAACTTGTGCAGGGGAAAACTGATGTGCACATATTAAAGGCAAAGCCCCACAGATGAACACTATTATTTTTGAAGTGCAAATCATTAAACCTTACACTGGCTCTACCAACGTATTTCCTCTTTTTTCATTTATTCATGATTTATGTTTGACTCCACCTTCTGTCAAAAAAGAGATGGCCCCCTCTTTCACTAACATAACTATGCAAGAAGCTTTCATATCATTGTGACTTCCAAGCCTCTGGCAGAGCTGTTCTCCCCTTCCTGAGGCTGGTTCTTTACTTGTTTTTTGCCAAGCAATGTGAGAAGCTGATGGAAAGACATTTTGGGGGGACAGATGGCTTAGCAGGGAGGGTGGCAATACTGTTTGGGGGTTCTTTGTTTTTTTTTTTCTCTTTAAAACCTCCCTCTCTGGCAGGACAAGATGCCTACTGTACCTTCACCTTTGTGTCCTCTTGTAACAGAATGAATATTACTGTAGGTTAGACTTCCTGTGGAAGAACAAGTTCAAAAAAGAGCGGGAGGAGATCGAGACCATGGAGAACCTGAACCGCGTGCTGCTGGAGAACGTGCTTCCCGCCCACGTGGCCGAGCACTTCCTGGCGCGGAGCCTGAAGAACGAGGTCAGGCTCGGGAAGGGGCAGGTGGCAAGGACGAGGGGCGGGGCTTCCGCAGTGACTGAGACGCGATGGCCTGCAAACGCCCAGGCGGGGGAGACAGCCAGCGTGGCCGGCATCCTGTAGGTCTCCAGAGGGCATGGGTCAGGCCTCTAGAAGCCAGCTGGGAGCCATGACTTAGAATCTCCTCTAAAGGATTAGCACCAAACTTGGTTTATTATTAAATGGCCGTCCAAGAAGTCCTCACACCTAAGGTTTCTTCCCCTGTCAAGGAAGGTTCTGAATGTATAGTACGAGGTGCTGTGGTCCCAGGCATGCCGCCAAAGTGGCCCCTTCCCACCTTCCTGGTGTGTGAGGCCCAAATCAAGAGACAAGGCAATAAGTCCACACATTCCACACATTGGTTGTTTCGCTGCTCTCAACTTTCCTGAAATCCCCTTAACAACTGTAAAGGTTGCCATCAAGTAGACTCCAACTCATGGCGACCCCCATGTGTGTCAGAGTAGAATTGTGCTCCACAGGGTTTTCAATGGCTGTGATCTGTTGGAAGTAGATCACCGGGCCTTTCTCCTGAGGTGCCTCTGGGTGGACTAGAACCTGCAACCTTTCAGTTACTAGTCGAGTGTGTTAACTCTTTGCACCACCCAGGGACTTCGGAAAGCCCCTTAGGATCTCAGAATTTCAAATGAGATAGAAAGGACTTGGGAGTTATCTATCCAAGAGCAGATCGGAGATGCTAATGGAAATGGAATCTCATGGAAGTTTAAAGAAATGAATATTTAACTAAAGTGGAAAAGACTGGGATGCCATTTAGATGTTGCGGTGGCTGATGAAGTGAAATGACATGAAATCTCTTTAATATTGTTGAATTCCAAGAGTAACCAGATGTATCCACTGTGGGACTTTATTAATTTAAGAAGCATGCAGTTGAACACCCACTGTGTGTAAAGGCCTGTGCCAAGTACTGTGGAACTTCAGAGATGGGTAAGGTACAATCTCCGAGTTTAGGAAATGGGGGTTGGGGGAATGGAAGGAAAAGCAGAGGGGTCCTCTTGATAAACTTGTTAATAGATAAGTTCAACTCTATTGATACTACGTAGAAAGCAACTTCAAATGAGAAGGCTCTGAAAAGTGTTTCTGTGGTGTATTTGAAGCTGACTTTAGAAGAATGCCCGGCAGTAGGTGAAGTGCTGGACGTGATCATTCTTATCTTCCGGGAGGCAACAGTGTGGTGACCCCGGGTCCCCAGGCACGTGTGCCAGAATACATTCTGTCTCTTTTCTGTTTCTTCGTCCTGCTTTTCTTTATTCTGTAGGTTATTCAGTAGACTATTCGCCTGTTCATCTCTTTGGTTTTTTGGGTTTTTTTGTTTTTAATATACACAGCAAAACATACACCAGGTCAACGATTTCTATGTGTACAATTCAGTGACATTAATGATTACACTCTTCGAGTTGTGCAACCATTCTCACCCTCCTTTTCTGAGTTGTTCCTCCCCCATTAACATAAACTCACTGCCTCCTAAACTTCCTATCTAATCTTTTGAGTTGCTGTTGTCAATTTAACCATATAGATAGATCCTTAAAAGAGCACAATGCTCAAGGCAGACATTTTTTACTAATTAAACTATTGTTGATTTAAAGAAGACTTCTGGGCATATGTTTGGTTTAAAGTTTAAAGATTATCTCAGGGCAATAGTTTCAGGGGTTCTTCTAGCCTCAAAGGCTCCAGAAAGTCTGGATTCCATGAGAACTCAAATTCTGTACTACATTTTCCCCCTTTTGATCAGGGTTCTTCTGTAGAATCTCTGATCAACTCATCCGTTTTTTTATTAGAAATACAGGAGTATCTTTACATCTGCATGTCTAAGTGTCTTAGTCAGGATTCTCTAGAGAAACAGAAACAGTAAAATTATACACACACACACACACACACACACACACACACACACACACACAGAGAGAGAGAGAAGAGTTTACTTCAAGGAATTGGCTCACACAATTATGGGAACTGGCAAGTCCAAAATCCATAGGTAGGATTACAGGCTGGAGACTGCTACAGGCTTGCATCCCAAAATCCTTAGGTCAGGAGACAGGAAGAATGAAGAATGGAGGAATTATGACAAAATGTCTATTTATGGTCTGGAGGCAGAATACATTCTCAGAAAAACTCCCCTTTTGCTCTTAAGGGCTTCAACTGATTGGATGAGGCCCATGCACATTATGGAGGGTGATCTGCTTTACTTTAGGCCAGCTGACTTCATCACGTGTGACTACTTCATCACGGGGTCTAGACTAGTGTTTGAGCACACGCGGGGCAGCACGGCCTAGACATCACAGTAGTGATCCGTCCAGTGTTTAAGTGCCACACGTGCAGTTTGGCCTCTGCCTGTGGCCACGCTGGGGCTGGGCCCTGGGTGCAGACTGAAGGGGACAGAGGTGGCCCTCAGGCCTCCCAGTCTTGGAGGGAGCAGGGTCCTGTTACCCCCCAGAGCCCTAGGAGCATACACACGGGAGTCCAGAAAGGCCGTTGTGTGGAGGTGACTTCTGAAGCTGAAGAGGAAATGCTAGAAACTAGCTGGGAGATGGGCGTCCGGGAGGAGGAGGGGCCGAGAGCACCCAGGCTCCACGCAGCTCTTTTTGGCCAGGTACTAGGAGAGCACCTCGTTCAAGACCTGCCAGGAGCCCAGTGGGACAGGCAGGAAGAGGGGGAGGGGAAGGACGGTTCAGTTCAGGGTGAGCTGAAAGGAGTACGATGCCTGCAACAGTGAGCTCAAACACACCCACAAGCGTGCAGATGGTGCAGGACCAGGCAACTTTCAGCTCTGTTGTACATGGGGTCGCCCCATGGCGACTAGCAACAACAGCAGAAGGAGTGTGGATCCCTAGGTGGTGCAAACAGTGAGCACACTCCACTGCTAACTGAAAGGTTGGAGGTTTGAGTCCACTCAGATGTGCCTCGGAAGAAAGGGCTGCTGATCTACTTCTGAAAAGTGAGCCATTGAAAACCTATGGACACCATTCTACTCTGACACACATGGGGTCACCATGAGCAGGGGTCAACTCGATGACCACTAGTACTGGTTGCTTCTGTTAAATATGTCCAGCTGCCTCATGCAAGTCTCCTTATGCCTTCACCCCGATGTTGGCCTCATCATGGGGCAAGGCCAGCCTAGCGCTCACGAGCCCTGAGCTGGAGACATGAGTTTGAGCCCTGGATCGGCACTGCTTGCTGCATGGGCATTTGGAAACTTCTCACAGACAAGGTGGGGATCAGTACGTTTAGGGGACACCAGCTCTGTGTCGCATGAAGGAGATGAGTCCCTTGGGGCCTGTATCTAAGGCTGTATCATCCTGTACATACTGGGAACCAGGGCTTCAAACCAGTTCTTCCCAGTTCAATCGTGGCCAACAAAGCGAAACCACAACAGACAAGAAGTTGCAAGATGTGGGTGTACCAGAACGATAACCAGAATGGGGAAAATTACCATCCGCACCCTGCTAGAAATTTAATCTTTCTCTTAGAAAACAAGGGCAGTGTGTACATTGCATAGCAACCAAATCTCTTGACCGGCAGAGTCAGAAACAGCGGTGCCCTGCTCAAAGATGGCAGCCAACCACATCAGGCTCCTGAAAGGGCTCACCATGCCTCTTCTGAGTCTCCCATTCTAGGGCTGCAACCTGTTACTTTTCCTGTTCTGTTTGTGATTCCAGTACACTCACATTTTACAAATTCAGGTCTGTTCCGATTTCACTGCATCGGCCAGGACTAAACCAGTTTGAACCAGTTGCAAGCCCTGCTGGGAACCCACATTCAAGCATTCAGATGAGCTCCCTGCAAATAATCAGCACCTGTCCACCAAGCTCCCGGGTGTGGCTCGAGAAGACAGCTCATTCCGGCATTCAGGAAACCTGCGGCCCCGAAATATAAACCTGAACTAGGCCAGCCTACAGCTCTGCAGGAAAGTGAGTAGCAGCTCAGCCTCCGGAGCTTTCCAGCTTCTCACGAGCAGAAATGGCCCTGCGTCCCACAATACTGTATTAAGGGGCTCTGGACGTCCCTACAAGCCCAGTGATTCACGACATCTTTGGATTTGCGCTGTCGAACCGCTGGCCAGGAGGGTGGAAGGACAGGCACTGAGTTTTAAATGGGGGCCATTAGACCAATGAGACTCCCTTCAAATGGTCAGTCTATTCTGCCCAGCTGTGGGCAGCAGGTTCTCTTGATTTAGTTACTCAATGCGGAGCGCCCCCTGGCTGTAACGTTCCATATTTTATTGCCAGTTTTTGTTGGTTAGGGTCAATATTGGAGGGCTACTCAAGCAGTCACAGTAAAGTTTCCAGGGAAGAAATTAAAGGAGCCCAGAGCACCCTAAGTCAGAGCCGTCCCTGTTGTCCAGCGAGAGATCCCCCAGGTGCGTCATGGCTACGATCAAATAGTATAGGGTGATTGTGTTTGCTGCGATCCTCATAGGGAAGGTTTTTTCCAGTTGCCATCAATTTGATTCTGACTCATGGCGACCCCATGTATGTCAGCGTAGATCTGTGCACCACAGGGTTTTTAATGGCTGATTTTTCGGAGTTAAATCACCAGGCCTTTCTTCTGAGGGACCTCTGGGAGACCTCGAAGCTCCAGCACTTGGGATAACATCCAGCACTTTAACCAAGCAGGCATGCAAACTTATGCAAAATACAAGGATCACAGGTTTTTAGGGCCTGAATAAAGTGCAGAACAAAGGCCATTGTGTTTATGTTGCTGCTTGGGGCAGTGTCTCCTCCAGCATCTGACCTTGGAGACAAACTCGTGTTCACCAGGGGACTCAGGGCAGCGTCTGCTCCACCATCTAATGTTGGAGACAAACCCGTGTTCACCATGGGACTCAGGGCAGTGTCTGCTCCAGCATCTGACACTGGAGACAAACCCGTGTTCACCAGGGGACTCGGGGCAGCGTCTGCTCCACCATCTAATGTTGGAGACAAACCCGTGTTCACCACGGGACTCAGGGC